TTTGTTTGGTCCGCTTTGCTCCCACATTTTTTATTTTACATGTGAATTATACGGTGTAACAAACCAACATTTGTTACGATTATTGCTGCCATTGGACGGGCATGAGTAGGGCAACACGGAGCACAGACTTGGAAATAGAGAAAAACTATATAATGGCAACAAAGTTGCACTGGAAGAAATCGAAATCTAGATTAGTCATTTTTTTTCTTAAAATAAGTGCATTTGTTCTTGAATGGAGGAGGTAAAAGATACATTTTGCCAATGGAACAAGACAATTTACATTTAAAATAAGAAAACACGATTGAATTGTCTTATTTCAAGTGCATTTTATCTAATTATCTTTTTTAAGAGTAAAAATACAAATTTCATTGGCAAACTCTCATTTACCTACTCAAATTAAGGGTAAATACACTTCATTTAAGATATATTTAATTATTTCTTGATCAACCATTCAAAATCATAGACAAGTTTCAGGTATTACAGGCTAACAATGGAACCAAACGACCCACTCGTCTGTTTCAATTTGTATGTTTCCAAGCAATACAAGGCCTTGTCTATATAAAGCCTCAAACTCACTGCGGATCCAGACATTTGAATTGAGAAAGCTTCCTGGAGGGGAAGTGAAACGTCTTCAAAGCTTGAAAACCAAGTCCAGTGGATCGTTTTTAAACTTTTACAGAATGACTATGACCTGGATGACTGAGAATCTTCATCAGCTTATTTCTAGATCGTGTTTCCAGCGTGCTAGGCAACCAACGACCCCTCAGGTATGATTTCAGTATTTTATTCATAGCTACAATGGCTTGATATATCCCAAAGTTTCCTGTAGTTTGGGTTCGTGTTTAGACCAGAAGCAGTGGGAGGCTTCAGTCGGACACTACCTCAAAAAGGTAGTGTCCAATCCTGTGTTTCCCTAAAGGTATTCATGCCTGCACAAAAGGTCTGATCAAGGATGGAAAGTTAAGTACATTCCTGCAATGTGAAAAACTGATGTGATGATCGGTTCTTCTGTAGGTTGGACAAACAGCCTTTCGACCTCTAACCTGTTCACCCACATAAAGGCCAACTAAAAACGTAACTGGTCCTTCTCATACCACCAACAACCTGCACTCAAAAAGATGTCAATAGGCTCCTTCATCATCAGAAGAACACAAAAGAGCCAGTACCTGATGTTATTTCCCCTGTCGGCCAAAAGCAACTACCATATTTTCACGACTATAAGGCGCATATAAACGTCTTCTTTTTCCTCAAAATGTGCGGCACGCCCTATAGTGCGGTGCGCCCTATGTGTGTTGTTACTGCGGACGTTGTTGAGACCACCATGAGAACGTTAAAGGAGGAAATGTGGGCGTGGATTGTGTATAAAAGAACAGGTATGTGCTTTATGCAGAACATTGTTGTCTTAACAACCCTGAAAATGGCAAAGAGACACGCCTATGAAGCACAGTTTAAACTGAAGGCTATCAGCTACGCAGAGGAACATGGAAATCGAGCAGCCGCGAGAGAATTCAAGATTAATGAATCGATGGTTCGCAAGTGGAGGAAGATGGAAAACGAACTCCGACAGGTGAAGAAGACGCAGCTGAGTTTCCCCGGACATAAGGCGAGGTGGCCCGAGTTGGAGGAAAGACTTGAGCGGTGGATCAGCGAGCAAAGAACAAGTGGGGCGAGCTTTTCGACGGTCACTGTTCGACTAAAAGCAGTAACGCTAGCGGAAGAAATGAAAATTGAACATTTTCAAGGAGGTCCGTCGTGGTGCTTTCGTTTTATGAAACAATGCCATTTTTCCATCCGGACCAGGACTACAGTAGCGCAGCAACGTCCGGCGGATTATAATGAAAACCTGGCGAGCTTCCAATCCTACTGCAGCAAACACATCACCGACAAACGCATCCAGCCAAGCCAGATCACCAACATGGACGAGATGCCGCTCTATTTTTAAATACGCAGTAGAGGTATTTAAACGTAGTAGAGGATATGTATCTGTATATAAAACCCGCGCCCTATAATCCGGTGCGCCTTATGTGTGTGTTAAATACAGTAATGGCACACATAACTGAGACTGCGCCTTTTAGTGCGGTGCGCCTTATGGTCGTGAAAATACGATAGTCCTTGCATCAACTTGGGGCTTGAACTATTCCCTGTAGATGTGTGAGATTCTCTAATGCTTCAGATGTTCAACCATAATACCGGTCTCTAGGAAATGCACCTGTGGCCATGAAAATCCAGTGATCGATTGGTACGAAGGAATCGGAAGAAGATCTCAGGCTCCCTGTGGTTTGCTTAATGGGAAACAGATCAGAGATGATGAAGCCAACCTGGGACTGCACTTTATCCATCGCCACCAGCAACTATTCACTCTATCAATAGTTCCTGCATCGCTGTGATTGGCTCATCCACCAAACAGGACCCATTCAAACTACAACAATCATGTCTTCAGGAAGGGTGATCAGGACGAGGCTTGCATCAATCTAGAAGCAGGATAGCTGACTAAGAAAATGGGCAGCCATCATCCCTGCAGAACCAACACATCCTGGACACGGACTGTTTAGACTTTTACCTTCAGATCAGCACTGCAGAGACAGTTTCTTCTCCAGGAAGAAGAAAACTTCTCAGGTTCTGGCCCAAATCAACTCATTATATCCCAGGACTTGCAGAACACCTACAAATCCAAGATCTCCAGTCCAACATCTGGATGAGATCCAGCGACTGAAGGCTGTTCCAATACAATGAACTCATCTTCATATTCAAAAACAGGTTTCCTCCTTGTAAAAGGATCCATTACTCTGCTGGAGGGAAGCAGAGATAGCTAGTTGAGAGACGGCAGGATGAATCCAGGCAGCTACAATCTGTTTTTGTAAGTCTGAGGGAATTTCCTCCATGTTTTCCTGCTCTTAGCCGCCAGGAGATGAACTCTGTGTGGTTTTTCTCTTCTGTGCCATTTCATTTAAACCGCTATCGGTGTGGATAAAGCAGGTGTATTTAAAAGGGTGTCTGGAGCCTGTCCTGTGAGGTAGAGAGAAGGCCTGGACTCCTCCGGAGCCACAGCTCTGGTTTAAACTGGAGTATATTGGTGTTTCAATCCAGATTATGAAATTAGATACTGAACCCAACAGGATCTACATGTGTGTTCCTGACAAATGAGATCCACCATGACATGACCATGAACATCGGTTTGCTGTCATTAGAGTCCAAACTTTATCACTGGGGCCAAAATGTTCGAATCAGGCCAGAGAGATCAATAAAACACCAAAACATTGTTATGCGATATAAAAATGAGAAGAGTTAAAAAGGAAATGTGTGAAAAAACAAGTGTGGTTCATCTGATCTAAAAATAAGCAAGAAGTTTGGCTTATACGTTTATTTTCCCCTAATTTGAGAAAGGAAATAATCTGCCATTTACCTATTTTAATTATTTCAGTGATATTTTAAAAGAGGTCCACAATAAGTACCGTAAGCATTTTGGGGGATTTTTAAAAATATATTTATGAAAAAAATATTTATGAAAGAAAAAAATGGATTTGGGAGTGTTTCTTTAAACAGACTAAGCCAAGTTTCTTAATTTATCTATTTATGTTTAAAGATCTGGAGAAAACGTATAAGCTTAAGGAGAAAGAAAGAACAAAAAGGGACATACTTTTGACCATTTGAAGGAGAGTTTAACGTTTAACCAGTCAGTAAACAAAGTCTGTTGGCTGCAAAAATACCCAACAGGCTGCATTTCAGACAGACCCTGCATTATGAGGAAAAACCTATCAGCTTGAGTGAAAAACCACAGAGCTGAAGGTTAATTGATATTAATCAATTAACCTTAATTAATTAATACTGTTAACCTTTTTAAGTAAACCATCTCTGCTGACCGTCACACTACCAACAGCGCTGGTAATAAACCCTGGACCCTCTAAACTAAATCGAATTAATTGTCAGTTCTTCAGTAATATTCATGCTACACAGAGAAATATATTTTATCCATACCTGATTTTTTTCTTTTGATGATTCTAGCTTACAGCAGATGAAATTCATAAATAGTTTCTCAGAAGATCAGATTTTTACATCAGACCAATAAAAATGGGCTATTAATCAAGACAACTGACAGCTACATTGCAAAAACTGATGTTAAAATAAGTAAAATTTCCTTTAATCTGAGAAGTTAAATAATGTGATCTGCCTAAGGAATAAATAAACTGAAAAAACTATCTAGAAATTTCATAAATTAAGTGTATTTACCCTTAATTTGAGTAGGTAAATCAGGTAGTTTGCCAATGGAGTGAGTATTTTTACTCTTAAAATAAGATAATTAGATAACATGCACTTGAAATAAGACAATGCAATTGCATTTTCTCACTTTAAATGTAAATTCTCTATTTCCATTGACAAATGTAAATTTTGCCTCCTCAATCGGAGAACAACTGCACTTATTTTAAGAAAAATTACTTATCTAGATTTAGATTTTTTTTTCCAGTGTAGCTTTGCATTCAAGATAACTAGATTTATTATGCGCCTAAAATCAGAAAAAAAAGTATGTATGTTTTTATTTTACACATAAGCTGTCTTGTTCCATTTGCAGATATTCTTACCTGCTCAAAAACAAGGAAAATTACACTTAATTTCAAGAAATTACATAATGTTAAGAAATTTACAGCATGTGGAAAACAGCTGACCTGGAAGATGTCCAGCTATTCGACACTGGCTCCCTCTAGCTCCGTTAGGTCTTTGCTAAAGGTGGCTAACAATGTGAGCTAATAAAAAGTTAAGTGGAAGGAAAAAGGTGTGGTGGGAAAAGGGGCCGAATCAACAGTGAGAACTGCAGGCCAGTCAAAGGTTTGGAGGAGATTCACTGAATCTATAGTGTTTTTATTGCTAAAAGGCAGGTTTGTAGTAACTAGTTACATTTACTTGAGTAACTTTTAGAAAAGAACATACTTTTAGAAGTATTTGTAAGTTTTTACTTCTTAAATTATGTTTTTTTTTTGTGAGAGTATTGTTTTTTTTTTGTGAGAGTATCGTTACTCTAACTGGAGTAATATTTCTGGCTACTTGAGCTATTGAAATATGCAGTTAAAAATACAATAAACAGTAGATATTTTAGCTAGAATTTCTTTATCCTTTCCTGACATATATACATAACCAACTAAACATGGTTATGTATAGGTTTATGTTGAAAAAAATTATGCTATAAATTGTTTCTTCTGAAAAACAAATCTTATTTTTAATCAATCATGTTATTTTTGGGTGGGGTTTCTTTTTATTTCATACTTTAAAATATAATTAATTGTACCTAATCCATATATGTCTGGATATTTATAATTTAATCAGATAATAATAATGAACCAACAGATCCTCAGAACTTGAGCAGCTATTTTACCAAATGCTTTTTTATTCCAACTAGAGCAATTTCCTGGACGACTACTTTCTACTTTTATTATAATAAAGAATTTTAAATTAGTGCTACCTAATATTAAATTAGGGTAATCTAGATACCTCTGATTTTATTAGATTTAGTTTTTTTTCTGGAAGCTAGAATCATTCAAATAAATATCAACAAGCTCTTGAAATATATAACTCTGTGTAGAATGAATGTATACATGTTTTAAAAGTTAAAGCAACAATGTGTAAAATTTGACACAATTATAAGCTTAATTTAAGATTTTTCTACTGATTCCTAATCCAGGTTTCTCTTCTTAAAAACACTCCCAAGAAACTTTAAAGGATCGACTGAATCATGTGACCCATAGCACCGCTTTGCGACATTCGGACATCTCCATGAAGGGATCCACGACTAGTTGAACCCGTGACTTTAATATGTTGTCATTTTCTTATTGACTTAGAATTTCCCTTTGTGTAAAAACTCATAATTACCATATTCTTTGTCCTATTTTTCACCCGTGGAAGTCCATTTTCAACTGTGCAATGCATGATGGGCTGATGACGGGGTTAGGTCCTGCGGGGCTGGAACCTACAGAGTGAACATGGGAAGGCTAACATTAGCAGAGCTGTTTTTTATCACTGGTGTTTGATTGGTGTAAATAAAAAAAATGGCCACACTGTGTCGCTGCCTCAAAGTTTTTGTTATACATAGGATATCTGTATAAAAAATAGACAAATGTGATTGGCTTGTTATTTACTGATTACTATATTAGCTAGTGCTAACACCGTTAGCAGAAGAAAATCAGAATCAAACCCGAAGATAATGAACTGTTTAAATTAAAAGTGGAGCATACGTCAGTCGTTGTACCTCATCATTCTAGTATATCTGAGAAAATGATTTGATCCTGATGCTAACTGCTAACTACGGAAGAGGATTAGGGCCACTGGAAAAAAAAAAAAAAGTTTACTGATTTTAAAAAT